GTATTGTTTTGTTGTATGTAATGTTTTGTTTTTAAAAATGAAATGAATAAATACTATAAACTATTTTCTTGAAAATGAACGGAGGGCAGAATTTATAGCCCACACATTTTATGATGTCGGCTGAAACTGAGCTTCCTCTTGTTGAAAGACCAGCATCCACCACTGGTGGGCATGAGTGTGTGTGTGTGTGTGTGGGCATGAATGTGTGTGTGTCTGTGTGTGTGACCTTCTGAACTCCCACCTATCAAAGTAGAACTGTTTTCATCCCACACTGTGGAGGGTGGGCTATTCCTGCAAGGACACACAGTAGGTAGTTCATGCAACATCAGGGAGGAGTAAATATAARAGCTTACATCAGTGTGCTGTGAGTTGACTGCAATCTGCACGCTCTCTCTTTGAAAATGTCTTCTGGGAAAAGGTTTACTGTCACAGATGTTTTGGAACAGCTCCTGGACAGTGAAAGGGACTCAGAGGAGATAGTCTCTGAGACAGAGGACTGTGTTCAGGAGGACCCTGATACTGAGGAATCCTCATCTGATGAGAATGAGAGTGTTGACCCTCCTGTTGTCTCTTAAACACCTGCAGACATGACGTCTTCCAAACATGGGGAGATGTATGGTCCCTTTCTCCACTGAAACAGCAGGATAGACGTAGCACTAGTAATATTATGAAAATGGTTCCAGGACCCACCTGATACGCCGTCAGCCATGTTGATGACATCAAGTCATCACTCGAGCTCTTCGTAACACAACTATAAAAATATTGTGCTTGGAAAGACAACTTGAGGGGAAGTGTGTAAATGTGGACAGTTGTGAAGACTTGGATGTAGATGACTTGGTCATTGTGAGAGTCATGAATGTGCTCTGAACCTGAACATTTATCTGATGGTGGTGCTACAGTAAAGCTCCTATCCATCAGCACCAAAACAAGACTTGTGGTCGTTAATGTTGAGAAGTAAATTTGAGAAGATTTGTGTGAAAAATTCAAGAAATTTTTTTTCTAATTTAAAGGTTTGGCCTGACGGTGGCGCTAGAGTAGATGAGGAAGTCATTGATATAGTTACATATATTTTATTGAAGTCTAAAAACAGATATAAAAAGGAAACTGCATGCCCAGTGTTTTCAGTGCAGAAGACTCAGAGGCATCCAGTTCTACGTTGTTTATAGAAGTCAGAATTATTAGAGATTTGTCCTGTAGAAAACTATTGTTGACTGGTGAAAAGTCCCAGATCAACACTTCTGCCCTCTGCAGGAAACCTCACGTCTGCTTTTAGTTTTAGACGTTTAAAAGAAATGAACAAGAATTTCAATCCAAAGAACTGAAACGAGTCAGTGCATCTTTATTGAGATGGAGGTCTCTGCAGTCACTAGTAGGAGTTTGTTTTGTGTGAGACATTGTTGTGTTTGACGTTTGTGGGCGTGGTTTGTTAAAGACGTAATAGGATGAATTGTCTGTTTTGGGTGGGGTTTGAAGAAGCTGGGTCTAAACTGTATTAAACTGTACATAGACAGTCAATAAGTCATATTTACATGTTCACATTCATTTTACTATAACCGTTACTTTTTCTTTTAAATTACCTCACAACACAAGTCAATCCCACCAATCAGGTTTAGGAGAAAAGCCCCACCCCATGTACTGCAGATACCATAATGTCTTTATTTGGTGGTGAACTGGTCCTTAAACCTCTGGGTTCCTCTTGTACAATTCATAAGCAATGTCCTCAGTGTGGGCATAATCTTTGCAAACACCGATGAAATCGATCTCAAGCTGGAACGGACCGTCTGCTTTGTCTCCCAAGGTAAACCCGATGGTGTTAATCTGTAAAAACAAAGGAGTGACAGTGTTTAGAGTCACTTCTTTTTTTAAATACACATCATGTCAAATGTTTTTGGGAACCTTGTCCAGCGCGATAGGATACTGGTTATCTTGTACTCTCCCTCGATAACTCAGGAAGAATTTGGAGAACGGTATCTGTGAAACAGGCCTGAGTCAGTTATACAGTTAAAGTCAACTAAAAAAGTTCCTATAAGGTGCTGAAAACCTACATTTGTTCAGTTAAAACAACATTTTGCAGCTACACGAGTGTCACAGGTGTTTGCTGACCTTCACATCCTGCCAGTAAGGTCCTCCTCTGGTGTAAAGGAAGTAGTTGTACTGGTCATCAGCTTGATGAGAGTAGAAGGTTTCTGTAGCGATGGAGACCATCCACGGGCGGCCGTCACCACGAATCCTCAAATGTAAAGTGTTGAAGCTGGTCCAGTCATGGTGCTTTTTCCTGTCAAATGATTTCTAGAAAACAAAATGATTGCAGAGGCTTTGGAACCAACTATTAATATGGTAAATTAAAACAAACAAAGCCATTAGCAATCCTTTAGATTAGTCTTTATTTTAATGATTTGTGGAGCCTCACTGATGCTCTAACCTGACCTGTTCTTCTACAACAAGCACTCACCACAGCTTGTTTGGAGCGTAGGGCGCAGTATCCACTGTAGCGTGTTTCTCCATCTTTTGGGGGAGTTGAACAAAGTGTCCCATACAGGAAACAGGTGTTGTTCTTCCCCAGCTTCAGGTAAACTTTGCTCTGGCCTCCTATAACTTCATCAGAGGACACGATCCAGTCCTGCAGGCTCTCTGGACCTCTGAACTCCCACACAACCCTGTTCTGCTCCAGCATGTGCTCGTGGAGGCTCTTGCCCTCTGGACCGACCCAGGGGTCACAAAGCTCCTTTTTCAACAGCGTGAAGTTCTTTTTGATCCCCTGCAAACCTTTTGAAAAGTTAAAGTTGATCTTTTTCCACGGAGGCGTGTTGTCTTTGGGCTGGCCGGGCCTGCGGTACGTACTCTGATTGAAAGCTGTGATGGAGGCCAGCAGCAGGTGCTGCTCATGGACACACTGCAGCAGCTTCAGAGCAGGGAGACGGGCCGTCCTCAGGAGGGACATTTCTCATCTGGATCAGTCACACACAGACACACACACACACACACACACACAGCCTGAATCATTCAACTGTTAGAGGAGACACAACGAGGAAAAACTGTCATCACACTTCTACAGTCATGGCCAAAAGTTTTGAGAATGATTTAAATGTTAATTTTTACAAAGTCTACTGCTTCAGTTTTTATAATGGCAATTTGCACATACTCCAGAATGCTATAAAGATTGATCAGCTTAACAGCAATTAATTGCAAAGTCAATATTTGCCTAGAAAATGAACTTCAACAGGAGAGAAGTTCTATTGTTGCCAAAAAGGCTCCAGGGCGCCCAAGAAAGACCAGCAAGCGCCAGGACCGTCTCTTAAAAGTGTTTCAGCTGTGGGATCGGGCTACCAGCAGTGCAGAGTTTGCTCAGGAATGGCAGCAGGCAGGTGTGACCAGGTGTGAGTGCACCTGCACGCACTGTGAGGCGGAGACTCTTGGAGCAAGGCCTGGTCTCAAGGAGGGCAGCAAAGAAGCCACTTCTCTCCAGGAAAAACATCAGGGACAGACTGACATTCTGCAAAAGGTCCAGGGAGTGGACTGCTGAGGACTGGGGTAAAGTCATTTTCTCTGATGAATCCCCTTTACGGTTGTTTGGGACATCTGTAAAACATCTTGTTCGGAGAAGACGAGGTGAGCGCTACCACCAGTCTTGTCTCCTGCCAACTGTAAAGCATCCTGAAACCATTCACGTGTGRGGTTGCTTCTCAGCCAAGGGAGTCGGCTCTCTCACAGTCTTACCTAAAAACACAGCCATGARTAAAGAATGGTACCAGAAWGTCCTCCGAGAGCAACTTCTCCCAACTGTCCAAGAGCAGTTTGGTGATGAACAATGCCTTTTCCAGCATGATGGAGCACCTTGCCATGAAGCAAAGGTGATAACTAACTGGCTCAGGGAACAAAACAGAGATTTTGGGTCCGTGGCCTGGAAACTCCCCAGATCTTAATCCCATTGAAAACTTGTCAATCATCAAGAGATGGGTGGACAAACAAACACCTAGGAGTTCTGACAAAATGCAAGCATTTAAATAAGAATAAGTAAGAATGGACTGCTATCAGTCAGGATTTGGTCCAGAAGTTGATAGAGAACATGCCAGGGAGAACTGCAGAGGTCCTGAAGAAGAGGGGTCAACACAGCTGCATTAACTCTTTCTAACTGTCAATAAAAGCTTTTGTTACTATAATATGATTGAAATTGTATTTCTGTACGTGATGAAAACATCTGACATACAGACATGAAAACCAGAGGGCAGCAGATCATGTGAAAATATAATATTTGTGTCATTCTCACAACTTTTGGCCATGACTGTACAACCTGTAACAACAATTCAGTCATGGCAACATTGTTGTACTTCTTTCTTATGTGACATCAATAAATGTGGTAAATTAACTAGTTGAGAAATAAAACCCCACACACACACACACACACACACACACACACACACACACACACACACACACTTGTGTCCATGTGGAACAGTGAAATTGTGTTGTCTCGTTTTT